CTTTTAGATCTCACTTTTTTCATCTATAAAATGAAGCTAGTAACAGTTGCCATCTCATAGTGTTGTAGGAGTTATTACAGGCAAAGGCCCTTAGAAGAGCATCTGGGACGTAGCCAATGCTAGGAAAAGTATCAGCTGTTGCTGTCACACCTCCATTTTTACTCCTTGAGAAATTGAGGTCCAAAGAAAAGAAATCCTTGTCCTAGTGCACAGAGCCCGGAGGAGGAGGGAGCTGAGCTTTGATCCCATACCTTTATGATTTCAGAGCCTGGCTAAATCTGATGACACTTTTCAGGTCCCTTCTGGGAAAATCCCTTACACTTCTGACCCATTGTTCCCTTATCTGTTCAGTGGGGGACAGAAGACTCCAAGAGGTCCTCTATCCAGGATAGACACGAAGGAGCTGACTGGAGAGCCAGCCAGAGCCCAGGACATGGGTTGTCTATTCTAGGGCCTAGCCAGTGGCTTGGGACTCCTTGGAGGTTGGGAAGCCAGGCTGCCTAGGACACAGAAGCATTGGCGTGGCTGAGCAGGTCATGCCAGCTGCAGCCGAGACCCCTTGTGTGGGCGCTGCCTCGTGGGTGTAACGGCCACTGCGGCAGGGACAGAATGCTCATCCCTCCCACCTGATCGAGCTCTGGGATTGCCTCAGGAACTGCACAGAGGGGTTGAACTATTTCCATTAATTTCTTGGTAGAAGCCTCAGATGCTGCTGCTGCCGCTGGCTTAATTTTTAAATGTAGTCACTTTTAATATGCGCAGTCCCTATGCTTCCACTCTTTCGTTTTGTTTTGGTGACAAGGGATTTTTTAAATTGCTATTTTTAGAGCTTTTAACACATTTTTCTACATTTAAAAATTTTTAAATTGAGGTAAAATTCCTATGATGTAAAACTAACCATTTCAAGTGTACAATTCAGGGGCCTTCAGTGCATTCTCAATGTTGTTCAACTGTCACCTATATCTAGTTCTAGAACATCTTCCTTACTCCTCACTCCATCTTAGTAAGCAGCCATTCCTCTTTCCCTCCCCATTCCTAGTCCCCGGCAACCACTATCTACTTTTTGTCTCTAAGGGTTTACCTGTTCTGGATATTACATATCAATGGAATCATAGACTAGGTGGTCTTTTGTGTCTGGCTGCTTTTACTTAGCATAATGTTTTCAAGGTTCACCCATGTTCCAGCACGTATCAGTACTTGATTTCTTTTTACAGTTGAATAATATCCTATTACATGGCTATACCACACTTCACCCATTAATCTGTTGATGGACATTCCAATCATTTCCATATTTTGACTCCAGTGGATAGCATTGCTGTGAACATTCATGTGTAAACATTTGTTTAATTACCTGTTTTGAATTCTTTTGGGTACATTACCTAGGAGCGGACTTTCAGGGTTATACGGTAGCCTATACTTAACTTTTTGAGAAACTGCCAAACTATTTTCTACAGTGGCTATACCAATTTACATTTCTACTAGCGATGGATAAGAGCTCTAATTTCTCCACATCCTCTCAATATACTTTAAAAAATTCACAATGATACGGCATAATAATATAATCATTAATAAATGTTGCTATCATTAATAGGAGGAGACTGAGGCTCAGGGATATAGTCCATTGAGCAAGTTCATGCATCTGTGTGGCGGGCAGAACAACTGTCCCTGAAGATACCCACATCTAACTTCTGGCACCTGGGAGCGTGTTACTCGCAGACGTGATAAAAATAAGATTGTTAATCAGCTGACCTTGTGGGGAGATGATCCTGGATTACTGGGGCAGGTCCAACGTAATCACAAAGGATCTTGTCAGTGAAAGAGGGAGGGAAATGGGTAACAGAGGGAGACGGAATGATGAAAGCAGGGAATCAGAGCAATGTACGGCGAGAAGATTTGACCGACCATCGCTGGCCTGAAAATGGGAGAGGGCCGGAGAGAGATTTGAAGATGCCGTGCTGTTGGTTTGGAGGATGAAAGAAGCCGACCAGGCGTCAGGAATGCGGGCAGCCTGTAGAAGCTGCAGAAGGCAGGGAAACAAATTCTTCCTAGAGCCTGCAGAAAGAACATAGCTTTACCAACGCTTTGCGCTCGGTCACCCCACTTCAGACTTCTCAATGCCAGAGCTGTATGATAATAAATTTATGTCGTTTTAAGTCACAAAATTGATGGTAATTCATTATAGTAGCAAGAAGAAACTCATGCCGGCTATCGTGTGGTGGGGCAGGGATTGGCATCCACACTGGATTGACTCAGTGTCTGTGGTTCCAACTGATTGGCCATGACTATAATGACCAGGTTTTTTGCCGTCTCCAGGTCCAGCACCACTTCCCGCTCCACACAGACATAAGTGGATCTCACAGACATCACGTTGGGTTAAAAAAAAAAAAAAAAAAAAAAGCCCAGCACTATGGGAGGCCGAGGGCGGATCACGAGGTCAGAAGTTCGAGACCAGCCTGACCAACATGCTGAAACCCTGTGTCTACTAAAAACACAAAAATTAGCCGCGTGTGGTGGTGCGTGCCTGTAATCCCAGCTACTCGGAAGGCTGAGGCAGAAGAATCGTTTGAACCCGGGAGGTGGAGAGTTGCGATGAGTTGAAATCGTGCCATTGCATTCCAGCCTGGGCAACAGGGTGAAACCCCTCTCAATACATAAATAAATAAATGGCAAGTTGTGCAAGAAAGATTCAGTGAAACACCAGTTAGAATAAACGCAAAAACACAAAAAATGGTATTACACAGGTGTACTGGAGCCAGCTTATCATGAGGGTCAATTGTTACATTTTCAGTTTTCTACATTTAAAACATTTTTAGACTGAGGTAAAATTCCTCAATTTAGCTGTTTGCCTCACATAGCCCAATACTCAAAACTAAATCGTATAAACTTGAACATAAATAAGTTATAATAAAAATAAAGTAAGGAGCACTAAAAGCTCATCACTTCCTACTTGTGGCTCCCAAAACATGGTGGCGGTGGTGGCTGGTGTGCGGTGGGTGGGGCAGGTGCTACTGTGTAATGGATAGGGACCAGAGATGTTGCTAAATATCCCACAAAGCGTAAGACAGCCCCCACCACAAAAACGATCTGGTCCTAAATGTCAGCTGTGCCAACATTGAGATATCCTGATCTTTCCTAAAGCATGAATTCCTCATGAGTGAGGCCAGTATCTGACTCATCTCTGTCCCCAAATCACAGTCTGGCAGAGAGGATATTGCTAAAGAACATTAATGATGCTCTGCATCCCAGGCTGCATCCCAGGCATTTGTTGCATTTAAACCCTAGTGTTATGAGTTAGGGACTATGATTATATTTGATAAAGGAAAGAAACAGCTGTGCTGGTAATGAGGCTGCTAAGGAAGGACGGAAAATCAAAACGTAGGACTAATCAGAAAAATCCAAATATGCTCCCCCAACCAATCACAATAGCCTCTAATTAGCCACTGCCAGCCTCCTTATGTCAACAGCCTCCAATCAGGCACTCCTGAAGCCTTCCCTTTCTTTCACTATAAGCTTTCCCACTACCCTGCCTGCCTTCGAGTCTGTGGCAAACACAAATGGCGTCAGTTGACTCCCTTATTATAGCAAGCTCTGAATTAACAGCCTTTGCTTGTTTTCATTGGGTGGTCTTTATTTCCACATAGCACAGGGTGTGAAAAGCCTTCTGCACGTTGCACGCCTTGTTTCTTCTCCTCGTTATAACAAATCCTGTGGTGTCACGTTTTCCCAGTGATGAGTTGCCAGGACCACGTGCTCACAAAGGAGGGGAACTCTGGAATATGGCAAATGGCCAACAAGAACTCTCCCCTCCAGCCTACTCTGAAGGATCGCTGAGGTGTCCCCTGATGTACCTGATGTACATGAGATGGTCCAGCTCGTACTAGGGATTGAAACATAGATAGTACCAGAGATGGCAGCAGGACAGAGACCCCTGCAAGAGTGGACATCCCTCCACACCTGGAACTCTTTCCTTCCAGGAGACCACACACAATCCTCTGTTTCTATCAGGCTTGACGGAAGTACCATAGAAGCCTTCAGAGCTGAGACAGACCAGCAGTCTCTACACTCTACCTTTATCCCAGGAGTCCAGAAGGATTCTGGGTCAAGTTCACATCCCCGCCAACAGCCAAAGCTCTTGACTGTCCAAGCAATTTCTAAGAATTACCAGTGGAAACAGTTCCCTGTGGCTGCTATGAAAAATTATTACAAACTTAATGGCTACAACAATACAAATTTACTATCATACAGCCGTGATATGACAGTATCCCATGAGATTAGAAATACCATTATTCCAATTTTATAGATGAAGAAAATGAAGCACACGGTGGTTAAGTAACTTGCTTAGGGTACATAAGCTAGTAAGTGCTAGAGATAATTAACGCAGACATCTTTGGAAACGAATGTACACAAAAACGTAAAAGCAATACTTAGGTCTGAGTAGAAATACGATAGATGTTGTTTGCTTGCTTTGTTGTTTTTCTGAAATTTACAGTATGTCTAGGACTGAGGTCCACAAACCTTTTCTATAAAGGGCCAGACAGTAAATATTTTAGGCTTTTCGGCCCAGATGGTCTCTGTCACAACTACAAAACTCAGCCTTGTAGCCTGAAAGCAGCTGTAGACAATATATAGTGAAATGGCATGGTTGTGTTCCAATAACACTTTATTCGTGGACACTGGAATTCACATTCTATGTAATTTTCATGTCATGAAATATTTTCTTTTGTCTTTCCCCTCCAACCATTAAAAAATGTAACAATTACTCTTAGCTCATAGACCCTACAAAAACAGGAGGAAGGCAGATCTGGCCAGCAGATCATAGGATGACAAGCATCACACTCAGCACGAAACTGTTCTAAAATATTGCTTTAAGATGAAAAAGCAGATACAGTTCTTTGGTCAGCAGTTGGTGGCGTGGGCACAGGTCTGGAGACCTGCCAGCCTCCAGGCAGGCTAGAGGGCAGGTGTGGGCAGTTAGTTTTGTCCCTGGAGCCTGGGAAGACGGTGGGTGATCAGACAGTCCTGTCTATCCTGAGAGGAGAACATTCAGCTCAAATCCCAGCCCCACTATGCACAGATCAGAGCCATTTCTGAAAATGTCGCTGCTGATTCTGCTTTTCCTGGGATTGGCAGAAGCCTGTACTCCTCGTGAAGGTAATGCTTCCAGCCACGCCTTGTGTCCCCTGTGTACTTTCTTACAACTGGGGAGGTTCTCGTGGGCTGGATTCAGAGAGAAGCTCCTGAAGTCTAACGGACTTCTTGCTTCCCATTTAGACATTCACATTTCCCTTGATGGACACGGTGGGGTGACTGAGTCTAGGTTGCTAGCCCCCGCCCTTGGAGATACGCTTGTGTCTGCATCCTGGTTTCTATCACTGATTCTTTGTGCCTTTGGGGAGACATTGCTTCTGCAAGCCTTGCTGTCCTCATCTGACCAACGGGGCTCACAAGAATCCCCAGTTCATGGGACAGTTGTATGTCATTGACGAGCTTATGTTGTGCAGTGCCTGGAAGTCAGCATTACTGTAGTCAGATAATTCTAGTGAGACTCCAGACCTTTGCAACGTAAAGACACCGAAGAGTATATTGGGAAGAGGACTTGGGTCTTGCCACAACTCTGAGTTCCCGTTTCCTCATTTGATCCACAAATGTTAATTCCTGGTTCTTTCCATGGGCTTGATGCTGGGAATACAGTGATGAAAAAAGACAGAAATAGTTCTGTCTTCATGGAATTCTCATGCTAAACAAACACATTCTAGTGTGGGGATTCGGAGATGGCCTCTCTGGAAGAGTCACATTTGAGGTAAGGAATAGGAGATGGCCAGCTGAAGAGTCAGGAGAGACTATTCCAGGCAGAGACCTGAATATGCAAAGGTCCTGGGGCAGAAGGCACGGAGTCCCTTCCTCAGAGAGAGGCCGGTGTGTCAGGAACTCGGGAGACAGAAGGAGGGGCATAGCAGTGGGACTGTTACAAGTAAGAAGAGAGAGGAGGCAGGGAACAGAATAGACAGGGGCAGGTGGGTCACAGGAAAAATTCTGGAGGGTATCCTAAGTGAAAAGGGAGCTGTTAAAGGGTTTTCAGCAAAGGAGCATCATATTTAGGAGTGTGTGTGTATGTGTATGTGTCCGTGTGTGTGTGTTTGAACAATCTGTCTTGCCCCTCAGGAAAGAATGGATTAGGCGGGAATCAGAGTAGGGGCAAACACACAAGTTAGAACATGTTTTGGTCATCAGGGAGAAGATGGCAAACACACAAGTTAGAACATGTTTTGGTCATCAGGGTGAAGATGGGGATACGCAGAAGGTTATGAGACATTGAGGAAAGAGCTCACAGGATTGAGTGATGGGTCAGATGCTGGTGGCTGGGGAAAGAGAAGCGTGCAGAAAGGCTCTTTTTATACACACATGTATTTGCAACTGGCTGCCCTTAACTGAGATGAGAAAACTCTGTAGAGGCCGGGCGCGGTGGCTCACACCTGTAATCCCAGCACTTTGGGAAGCCAAGGCGGCTGGATTATTTGAGATCAGAAGCTCAAGACC